CATAAGGTTTAGTAGAATGAGAGCAAACCTGCCAGGTTTCCAAAATCCCCGTTTGACCCCGCCAACAGGATAGCTTATGAAATTGTACATCTGACATCCTAACCGTTGACTGTACACGGCTATCTTGCTGAAACCGATAATAATTTTTTCTAAGTGAAACTAAACGATTTTCGAACGCAAAGACAAGATCGCTTACTGATCATATTCGTCTGGCACATCTGCTGGCCCAACAAACCATCCAACATTGATTCGTTGACGATCTTCTGCCGTACACTCCAGTTGTGAATCGTTCTAGATTTAATCATTTTATTGCTAAAAAACCACTATAAAATGAGGACTCCGTATAAACAGTAGTGTCAGGTGAAAAAGTTGAAAGAACTGGGTTAAAGAAATCAAGGAGATGTCCTCTTCAAGCATTTGCTTCATTTTGAAAAAGAAGATGTTTACACCAAGCATAGTGTACAAAATCATTTCTCAATTATTGTTTGCAACGTTTCTTCGGTAATGACAGCTTAGACTACTGTTTGTTCAAATGCAAAATGGTTGCCTTCACACTTTGTCAATGTAACAGCTTTGCGCTTGTGAAGTAAGACAGTAACAGCTGGAGAAAATTTTGCACATGCGCAAACAGTCCAAGTGTCTCAAGTGGCACTCAGAAGCACTCTAATGGAAGAAAAACAGTTTGAACAACTTGTGACTAAATGCTGAAGATATAAAACAAGCTATTCAGCCCAAGTATTTAGTAAGCCCTCATACTTGTCGCCAGAGTCCAATCTCATTTTCAAATTTTCCTCTTTTTCTTTTTCCTCTTTTCATCTTTTTTGCATAGTGGATCATAAAACTACAGTCCTCCCAGTGATGATTATTACGAAAACACCCAAACAAACCTCAGCTGACGCACTCTCTTTCGAGGTAACATCTCGATTGTCACAACCCATATTGTGGTCCATAGATACCTACAGAAATGGGTGTCCGCCAGAAAGTAAATTTCATCTCTTCACAGAAACAAACCTGAGAAGAACCCTCATTCCCACACAAGTCGTTGTTTTCTGTGGATGTATCACCGTTGGTAAAAGCTTGCTTCAGCTGAAAAGAATGTGCAATGAACAAAACTGGAAGGGCGCCACGATTTTTAAAAAGTCAAAATTTTGCATGAGTGATCCAAAATCCTCATTCTCATTGGTTACCTTGCTCTGATATTGGGGATCTGCCGCTACAGCTTCTGCGAATAATGTCATTGCTTCCTGTCGGAGATCGTTCGACATAGGTTCTCCAAGAAAAAATTTCTGCAATGCTCGTATGTCCTGCGAATTATCAAAGTTTGCACTCAAAGACAGCTCGCAGGGGGAGGGGGGCAGAATTACGCTACTACATCTTTGCGTCAATGAGACAGTTAAGGCAGTGTCCTGGCAAAAACTCGATTTTGAGATTTTG